CCTTTTATTGTGTAGTATATATAGTATTTGTATAATGCATAATTTAATTTAGTAATAACTATACAAATGATAACTCACCTTTGATAACTTTTTTTAAAATAAATCTTTATTGCTCAGATTATTACAATTGTTTCTCCTTTTTACCCCCCATAGCTCCCTTCCACCCAATTCCTCACCCTCTGCCCTTATCTCTCCTCCTGTCCCCTTCCCCCCCACCCCCGCCATTGTCCTCATCCATAGGTTATATGATTTTAATCTAGTCTCTGCACCCCCACATCCCTTCCCCCTGATAATTATCAATCTACTCCCTTTCTTTGCCCCTGATTCTATTATATTCACCAGTTTATTCTGTTCCTCGGATTTTTAATTCACTTGATCTTCTTCCTCTTTTTAAATAATACCTTTTAGCATTTCATATAATACTGGTTTGGTGGTGATGAACTCCTTTAACTTTTTCTTATCTGTGAAGCTCTTTATCTGCCCTTCAATTCTGAATGATAACTTTTCTGGATACAGTAATCTTGGTTGTAGGTTCTCACTATTCATCACTTTGAATATTTCTTGCTACTCCCTTCTGGCCTACATAGTTTCTGTTGAGAAATCAGCTGATAATCATATGGGTGCTCCCTTATAGGTAACCAACTGCTTGTAAGATCCTCTTTGTGTCTTTTGCCCTTGGCATCTTAATTATGATGTGTCTTGGAGTGTTCCCCTTTGGATTTCTCTTGTTTGGGTTTCTGTACTTGTAAGTCTATTTCTTTCACCAGTGGGGGAATTTTTCTGATATTATTTCTTCAAGTATGTTTTCAGTATTTTGCACTCTCTCTTTTTCTGGCACCCCCATAATTCTGATGTTGGTACGCTTGAAGTTGTCCCAGAGGTTCCTTACACTATCTTCAACTTTCTGGATTCTCTTTTCTTCTTGCTTCTCCAGAGGAGTGTCTTTGGCTCTTTGACCTGATTCTTGTGTTCCTTCATTCTGCTGTTGGATCTCTGCGCCAAAAGAAGGCTGTGGCTGCAGCAAGAATCCTGCCAGGCGAAACCCAGTGCTAGGTTTGGCGTAATCTTCCCCAGAAGCGGGACTTTTTTAAAATGCCAAGGGACACGGGACAGATTATTAAGAATTGAGGCTGTCCTGTCAAGGGCGCAACATCTGGACACCTTGGCGCCTGATCCCCTTCACCCCCTTGCTTCTTAATACTAGGGAAGGACTGCCCAGTTGGGCATATCCTGGGGACAACAGGGGGAAATTGTCTTCCTGGAAAAGGGGGATCGGAGCTAGAAAAGATAGTCTGAGAGCCAGCAGGCACTCTGGCAGCTAGAGCCATAGAGAAAGAAGGCCAGAGCAACCAAAAAAACTGGGAGGTCAAACCAGAAACACTGCCACCTAGGGGCTGAATTACAAACTGCCTTTTTTTTTTCTTTTAATTAATCAAAAATAAATGGACACAAATAACTGAGGTGCAGTGGAATGCTGGGAACTGCAAGACTGTCTGGTCCAAAAATCAGGCATGCCAAATACAATAACAGAGGAAGTGAATGACCACTACTGGACATTTTTATGCTATTTTATGTTAATTTTACTATTCTTTATTTTCATTTTTTACATCTTTTATTTTATTTTAATTTTTTACTTCTTTTACTTAAGAAAGGAATTTTTTTCTTTTTTCCTTACTTAATTTTACCTTTTCAATTATTACATTTCTCAATCTCAATCATCACTATTACTACTGCTATTTTGCATTTTTTGTTCCCTTTTTCTTCTTTTTTTTCTCCAGTATCATTTTATTTTCTCTTTATTTTACATTGGGATTAGTCTTCATTCTATTTTAACCTCTACTATAGCATTGTTCAACCCTATCTCAACTCGACCTTTACACCATCACTCTCTTACTAACCTTTACCCTTTTTGTCTCCTGTTTATCCTACTCCTTTCCGGCTTTAGTTTTTCCCCTATTCTTTCTGTATACTCCCTGCTAAAGCTTTCACCATACTGATAGACCTAATTTCCAACCCCCTGATACAAGTGTATAAGTACCACTCTCTTCACTATATTAACTGGTTAAAAAAACAAAAACAAAAAAAAAACTCTTCTCCTTTCTATCCTTTTGTCATTGTTTGTGTGAATGTTGATTATAGTGAATTTTTATGCATTTTAGAGAAATTGTTATGCTTATTCTTATGCTGTTATTGTTGCTTTGAATTTTTTTAAAATGTATTTTGTTTGTTTTTTACTTCTGTACATCATAGCCTTACTTAATAATAGTGGATATTGTAGTTTGTATTAATCTCCAAGTATTGTTGCTGGCATTGGCTGGGATTAGTGGTTGTTCTATGGGAATTTTCTCCACACACACACACACACACACACACACTGTATTTTCCGGCGTATAAGACGACCCCTAATTTTACAGTTAAAACATAGGTTTAGGCCTATATTCGCTGTATAAGACTACCCCCCACTTCAAAGAAAAGACTTACTTTGCCGTCAAGATCTGCAGGTAATTTTTGTGCAATTTTGGTCTTTTGCCCCTGATTTTCGATTGACTTTTTTTCATTTCAAAAGTCGTCTTATATGCCGGAAAATACGGTATTTTCCAATTTAGTCAGTTTATGTTTAATTTTTAGTTGGGTCTCATGAAATTTATCAGCCTTTTCTAGGATATTCTTGCATAACCTTAAAACCGTGGTTTTGAACTCTATATCCTCCATCTCTTTCGTTTGAGATCTATTTCCTTGTCTGGGCATTTTCACTGCTTCCCAGGTTGGTAGGATGGCTTTGTGTGTTTGGTGTCCTATATGGCCTAGTGGGTCAGCCTCCTCAGTTACCTGAGGTATACACTTTTGGTGCTCCCCTTTGTGGACTGCGTGTACAAGCCTTGTTTCTAGCTAAGTCTTTATTGTTGTTGGTATCCCTGGGAAGAATTGACCTTCAGGCCAATTGGATGTGGGTATCAGCTACTTTGGGATACCTTCTGTATTGGAGACTTATAGGATCAGACTTAAAAAAATTGCAGAAGCCTCTGTGCTCAGCTTGGATGGGGCGGAGTCTCAGGGCTGAGTTTACAGTCTTGGCTTCCCATCAGCCCTGCCCTTGTGTGCTTGACTGAGTTTCCGTCTGACCTCTGCCTTCCGCAGCACCCCTGAGTTTCCTCCTGACCGTCCCAGATCCCCCCACCCCCACCCCATAAAGAGCGAGTGCACCAGGGGCTCACCTGGAATTGGGTTGGGTCTCTGTAGTCTGGAGCTTCTGACTCCTTGCGATACGGAGAGGCTGCAGCAACCTCCTCAGTCAGACCTCTGAGCGTACTCATTGTAGACCCTGCTCGCTGTGGCTCCTGGCTCCCCCAGTCTCCCAGTCTCTGAGTCTCTGGGTGCCTTTCTCTACAGTCCAGACTCCACCCGTATGAGCCTGGGTCCATGGGGTTTCGGCCAGGATTGAGGTTCAGTACAATCAGAAAGGGTTCAGTGCAATCGGGAATTACTTCCCTCCTGCCAGCTAGGCATTCGGCTGCACTTCCTCTCTGAGCGCGAGTGTCTCCCTACCTCAGCACTTTGCGGCTCCCAGTCCGATCCGTGAGCCTCTCTCCTTCTTTCTATTTGTAGATTTCCCACTCCACCAGCTTTTCTGTGTTTTTGGATGAAGTCCGTTCTGATTTTAGTTGTTTTTTAAATTGTTGTGTGAGGCGCCATCTTGGTTCCTTTATATATATATCTCACTTTTGATAACTTTTAATGATGTTGTCAACTATGACTTGGGTAATCACACATTCCCTAAATAGTTATGGCTTTGAAATTTGTATAACCTCTTTGTGAAAGGTTGGCCATCCTGAAGAAGCTTTGCCCAGGATTTCCTTGGCTTGTTCTCATGTTCTATTCTCATGAGAGGAAGTCATCCAGGAGAGCTCCTGGGAGTGTGGGTTTCATTTAGAAGGCCCTGGTGAATGGGATTGTTTCAGATTTCAGGGCAGGGTCCCAACAAAAACCTGGAAAATATTGTGTGTCCTGGCTTTGGAGATACAAATTTGAATTTGGATCCTAGATCTGCCTCTTATGAATGAGCAAATGGATATATCTGTCATTTACTTAGCTCTATGGGTATGCCAGGAGCTCTCTGAGATATGGGCTGTCTTAATTCATCTAACCTTCACAATAATCCTATCATGTCTCCCAATTTATAGAAATGGCACCGTGGTGTGGCAGTGGAGCTCCTGTCCAGTTTGATTCAGTTTGACTCAATGGTGTTGTCCGGATTCAAACCCAGGAAGTGTAACTTTGGAACTGGGACTCTTAGTTACTTTGCCAAACTACCTTCTGGAAATCAGGATTTGCAGGGTGGAGGTAGGGAGGGAAGGATAAGGAGTGTATTATGAAAAGCATTGGATAGAAGAGCAACACATAAATATTAGTAGAGTGTGTTGTATTAATGATCCCATATCCTTGTTAAAAATGAAAGCGTGATTTCTTAGCTTTTTGGAAGCAAAACCTATTCTTTGTGGCCATGTGATCACCCTCTCTGTAGAGTCCAATTCAGGTATGGCCCAATGCAATTTCTTAGGGTTACTATAATAAAGCACCACAAATTGGAGGGCCTAGAACTACAGAAAATTACTGCCTCATAGTTCTGGAGGCTAGAAGTCCAAAATCAAGGTGTCAGTGGGGGCATGCTCCCTCTCAAGATGCTATGGAAGACTCTGGTCTAGGTATTTTTTTGGCAATCTTTGATGTTCCTTACCTTCTGCATGCCTCCCTTTCCCTATCTCTGTCTTTATCTTTACTCAGCATTATCTCTGTGTGTCCAGATTCCCCTTGTAAAGATGAGTCCTCCTGGATTAGGGACTTTCCTGCTCTGATATGGCCTTATCTGCAAACTAATGACATCTGTAAGACTACAAATAAGGTCACATTCTGAGCTGGGAATGTTGGAATTTCAACATATGAATTCTGGGTGGGGAGAGACAATTCAGCTCATAACACCCAGTGTCTCCTTCTGGTCTCAGTGGCACCACAAGTGGGGGCGAGAATGACCATGAGGACCTGGAGCAGGAGTGGAAGCCTCCAGACGAGGAGTTAATCAGGAAACTGGTGGATCAGATCGAATTCTACTTTTCCAATGAAAACTTGGAAAAGGATGCCTTCCTGCTAAAGCATGTGAGGAGGAACAAGTTGGGATATGTGAGTGTTAAGCTACTCACATCCTTCAAAAAGGTGAGACCTCATTGTCAGAGCTGCCCAAATGGTTTCAAGGCTGTTTTTACCCTTTTCAAACCTAATGACTAGTAATTTTTTACTTCCTCTGAGGCCTGAAAAAAGAGAAAAATGATCAAAATGATTTAGGATTGTCTCACACTATGAAAAGGATCCTGGGTTGAGGACAGATCTCAGTAATGGCCTTTTGAGACACCTACTAGGCCTAGAATTATATGCAATTCAAGCTTTTCATTTGTATAGTTGAATAAATAAATGGAGGAAGGAGTGCTCAGAACTTTGAGAGATAAGCCCTTCTCCAAGATTTCAGCCACCTTTGTGTGCAATGCCAACCTCATCTGTAGATGGAGATGTGGAAAATCTGCCTGTTGCTGCCGTCTGGGCACCAGACCGCATGGCCCTGCTGTGTACACACCCATCAAGTGGACCGTGTTTGCCTGCTTCTTGAAGAGCTGACAAATAAGTTGGCCTCAGAACTCTGTCTCCCTTGAGGGAAGTTGTTTACTAGAATGGAAAAGCACTACATTGACTGTTGTATAATGAAATGTGTAATGAGTAGGTCCTGGCCAAGTTGTCAGGAAGCACCTAGGACAACTCTTCTCCCAGACTGCTTCTCTGCCTCAGGATCTAGTGTGCTCTGCCCTCTTCTGTTCTTCTCTTTATTTTATTCTTTCACCAAGCATACTCATCCTGTATGCTGAGTACCATGTAAGGCATAGGATATACAAGATGAATTTGGCATTCTCCTGCCTTTGCAAAGTCCAGTGAAGGAGAGAGAGACTAGTGAAAGGTTACAATATGACCCTAGATAGCACCATGAAAGAAATAAAGGACTATTGATAGTGAGTTGCTTAGAGTAACTAATCCTGCTTGGAGAAGTGCAACAATAAAGTTGGATCTTGGAGAATGAGTAGGAGTTTTCAACAAATAGGAGATGGGAAAGGGCATTTCATGTTCCATAGGAAAACCTACTCTTCCTCCTTTGCTGCCATACTATTCCCACACTCACACTTCAATAGAAGAGAGAATAGGTGCCAAGCATTTCTGTGACACAGCTGAGTGTCCTACACTTCACCTCAATTCTGACACTGCCTACCTGGAAATGGCATTAGATCCCAGAGGTTAAGGGCTCGGTCCCACAGACTGACTCCCACTTCAGGTGCCAATCACAAGTAGTGGGTCTCTAGGTCCCTCACAACTTCTGTCCAATTTGGCTACAAATCAGAGGTTCCTGTGGCCTCCTCCCCTTTGATTCGATTATTTGCTAGAATAGCTCACAGAACTTGGGGAAACACATTTACCAGTTGGACATAACAAAGGGTAAGATGAATAAACAGATGAAGAGATACAAGGGATGGGATTTGGGAGCACAGGAACGCCTGTCCCAGTGGAGTTGGGGTGCACCACCTTTCATGTAGGCAGAGGTGTTCACCCACCTGGAAGCTCTCCAAATCCCTTATTATTGGGATTTTTTTGGAGGCTTCCTCACATAAAACACAGTATTAACTTCATTTCCTCCCTCCTTCCCCTCTCGAAGGATGGAGCAGAGGGCTGAAAGTGCTAAGTTTCTAATTATGATGCAGTCTTTCCGGTGACCAGCCCCATCCAGGAGCTTTGGGAGCCACCCAGAGTCCCCTCATTAGAACAAAAGATGCTTTTAGTCTCTGATCCCTTAGGAATTGACAAAAGGTTTCAGGAGCTCAATGCCAGGAATGAGAATGAAGACCAAATACATATATTTCTTATTATAAATTGCAGTATCACACATGTGCAGAGAAGAGTGAGCAAGCTTTCACATGCAAAGTGTTTGTCAGGAGCCCCAAAATGCAACAACCAGTGGAATCATCCTATACATTTCTTTTTTCCTCCCCAGATGTCCTAAAAGTCATCCTGATTTTCTTTCCTTTTAAACTTGCCACTTACATATCTATTTAGGTGGTGTCTTCTCTGTTGAAAACCAGCCTCAGAGTGGACAAAAACTCCCCAATACCTCCAAAATGAGAGCAAAGACCTTTTTCCTTTGACAAGGTTTCCTGCTAATCATAATAAACCTATATGACAAAGGTAACAAACAGGGAAATGACAGTTTTTTAGTAATTGCACAAAGCCTGTCCCTGGTTCCTCTTCTTAGGTGCCTAGCCACTCCTTCTAAAAGCTCAGACACAGACCTGAGATGCTCAGACTGAATTTCTCATGAACCTTGTTCCCTTCTCTGGAAGGGTGCTTGCCAGAACCTGCTTTCTCCACGGGCCGTGGCCAGTGGCCAATTCTCCAACCCTCTGAGCAAGGCAGCACTGGCCTCTTTCGGGCACCATCTGCTCAGGCTCCAAGCTTAGGCAGTAGATTGCCCTCTCCAAAGACTCCCTCCCTGACCTGTTTTGGAGAAGGCTTCCCATGTTCTACCCTCAAAAGGACCACTGTTTGGCTCTCCCACAACCTGGCACTGACCTGCGGTCATCATCTTCATCCTTTCTGGATCTCTCATTCACCACCAATCCGACTCTTTCCCTGGGCCCACTTTTCTCTGCCCTTAGCCTGTATCACAGTGATCAGTCCCGTTGTCTATGTGTAGGTGACTTGTGGTTCCCACATCCTAAGCACAAATCCGGCTATTTCATCTTGAGGTCACAGGCTAGAGTGGAAGTGTCCTCTTTGCAGGAGCCTACATGTATGCTTGAGAGCTCTGCCACGATCCTCTCAATGCTGCTCTGTGAGGGAGTCCTTTCTGAGTCCTTTTTGGTTCCTCTACAGAGCAGTTGCTCTGGCCTCAGAGGACTCAGGGTGATTTTGCCATTCCTGGATCAGGCCACCCACCCCACCCATCTCCACCGTTTCTTCAAAATGACTCATTCTTCTTGGAATTCCCTCACTGAAAGTGGGCCTCTTGAAAATTACTGTTTGATGATATAAATATAGCTTCCACATACTGCAGCATACCCACACTTTCCACTAAGTGAGGAGGGGATCTATTTAATCATTCTTCATGAGGCCCAAGTTGGATTTAATTCCAAGTTGAAACAGCTAAAATTATTTCCAAGAGATATTGCAGTGAAATATGAAACATTTTTTGGAACCTCCGCTGTAGCAAATGCATAAATGCAGAAATACAAATTCAGAACAATCATCAGTTTGAAAACAAGCATTGACAAAACAAATGATTAATTTCTGTAGATTCTTTTAAATTTTGAAAACGAACTGCATGTTAATAAACACTGAGTTTATAATCATTCAAAGTGCATATACATCTTTGGAGGGGATTCCCAGTATTTATTCATTTAATTCTCAGACTGACTCTATGAAGTAGGCAGGCATATTAACAAATGAGGAAGTTGAGGCACTTGGAGGTTGAATAAGTTTTTAGCTCTCACTGCCAGTTGGAGGTGGGCCTTGCATTTGTGCATCCAATAGCCTTTGTCCAAAGCCTGCAGGTTTAATCTCTAAACTTGTTCAGAATAGATAGAATATTTCCATCAGCATGACAAGTTCTGTTGGACAGCACTGCTCTCAACTGTGCTGTCTCATTTGATATTCTGCAAAGTGTGTTTGTTCATTCATTCATTCACTAGATTTTTGAGTGCCTGCTCACATCTGGTATGTTTATAGATACCAGTCCTCCTGAATAAGGAAAGGTGTGAGAGAGATTACAGAGGACACAAGGTAGACCAGGACATTGGGTACCATTTCAGATTTGCTTTGTGTTCTTCAGGTGAAACACCTTACACGGGACTGGAGAACCACAGCACATGCCCTCAAGTACTCATTGACCCTAGAGTTGAATGAGGACCACCGGAAGGTGAGGAGGACCACCCCTGTCCCTGTCTTCCCCAATGAGAATCTCCCCAGCAAGATGCTTCTGGTCTATGATCTCTACCTGTCCCCGAAGTTGTGGGCTCTGGGCACCCCTCAGAAGAATGGGAGGGTGCAAGAGAAGGTGATGGAACACCTACTCAAGCTCTTCGGGACCTTTGGTGTCATTTCATCAGTGAGGATCCTCAAACCTGGGAGAGAGCTGCCCCCTGACATTCGGAGGATTAGCAGCCGGTACAGCCAGGTGGGGACCCAAGAATGTGCCATTGTGGAGTTCGAGGAGGTGGAAGCCGCCATCAAAGCCTATGAGTTTATGATCATGGAATCTCAGGGCAAGGAGAACATGAAAGCTGTTCTGATTGGTATGAAGCCACCCAGAAAGAAACCTCCCAAAGACAAGACCCATGATGAGGAGCCCACTGCAAGCATCCACTTGAACAAGTCCCTGAACAAGAGAATTGAGGAGCTTCAATACATGGGTGACGAGTCTTCTGCTAACAGCTCCTCCGACCCTGAGAGCAATCCCACATCCCCTATGGCTGGCCGGCGGCATGTGGTCACCAATAAGCTCAGCCCTTCTGGCCACCAGAATATCTTTCTGAGTCCAAATGCCTCCCCATGCTCAAGTCCTTGGAGCAGTCCCTTGGCTCAACGCAGAGGCTTTTCCAGAAAATCCCCACTGGCTGAGGAAGGTAGGCTGAACTGTAGCACCAGTCCTGACATCCTTCACAAGTGCATGGATTATTCCTCCGATAGCAGCGTCACTCCCTCTGGCAGCCCCTGGGTTCAGAGGCGCCGCCAAGCTGAGATGGGGACACAGGAGAAGAGCCCCAGAGCGAGTCCCCTGCTTTCTCGGAAGATGCAGACTGCAGATGGGTTACCCGTGGGAGTGCTGAGATTGCCCAGAGGCCCTGACAACACCAGAGGATTCCATGGTGCACACGAGAGGAGTAGGGCCCAAGTATAAATAAATACCTTCTATTTTTAACACCTGCTCCATTAAAAACCACCAGTTTTCAGGTTCTGATAAATACCTGGCATGCCATAGAATGAACTTAAGTCCCCTTTCAAGAATTTTGTATACATATAAACCTCTTAATTTATATGTTTGCAATGTATATAGATTGTCTGAACATCCTGGTTTTAAGGCCATCTTCTAGTTCAGGAGACTGCTTCCTCCCAACACAACACAACCACTGTTGGATTGCTGTCCAGCCAATGTGTGAATGTCACAGCTCCGTATGGCTGTGGGATGGGCTCTGGGGAAGCCTGGCAGCCAGCCTCTTCTCTGGGGCAGGGTTCTTCTTCTCTTTGGGCCATGCAGGGAGTCCTCAGAGCCCAGAAGAGTTATTTTGTGCAGTGGCAACTAGTTAAACCTGTTGCATGGTGTTTTCTAGGGTCTAATGTATGTTTTCTGTCAAGCGAATAAAAAAATAAAACACTCAAGCCCAGCTGTGTGGCTCAGTGGTTGAGTGGAGTGTTGACCTATGAACCAGGAAGTCACTCTTTCGATTTTCGGTCAGGGCACACGCTCAGGTTGCAGGCTAGATCCCCAGTGGGAGGCATGCAGGAGGCAGCCAATCTATGATTCTCTCTCATCATTGATGTTTCTCTCTCCCTCCCACTCTTTTCTCTCTGAAATCAATGAAAATCTATTTTAAAATATAAATAAAATAAAACACTCAACCCAGAGTGTTGGCTCTAAAATCACGCCTGACAAAAATCTGCCTCCTGACAAGGCTGTGGTTAGTGTGTCATGAGGCCCTGAAATACTTAACCAAAACATTTCTTGAGTGTGCCTGTGGCTCCCTGGGGCTTGTGGTCGCCTGAGAGGTGGCAGAGTTTATGCAAATGTTAGAGCACCAACCCTCCCATCACAATGAATCACAGAGCAGTAGACCAAGCTCTCTAGATGTGATCTCCATGGACTGGCAGTGACATCATTTTTGAACTTGTTAAAAATGCAAATTCTCAGGCCTGCTGAATCAAAAACTCTGGGAAACGGGCCTGGAATCTGGATTTTAACAAGCCTACCTGATGATTCTGAGAACAAAGATGTGGAACTAGAGGTCACACAGTGTGATTCCCACATGCCAACCCCCACTTCCTAGTTCTGTGACCTTAGGCCATTACTAGCTCCACTTAGCCTCATTATCTCTCTGCAGAGTGCTTTGTCTTGATGTCAGTGCCTAAATGCAGTTGCTCCTTTTCCTGGGGTTAATATCCATTATCACTGGAAGCCACCTGAGTGTCACAGAAAGAGCTTCAGTGTTCAAGGCTTCAGTGTTGCTTTATTCGCTTGCTATTTGGGGGGAGTTGAGGCAGGCCACATTTAATGGAATTTGTTAATAATTATTGAAGAGTGATTAGATGCCAGGGGCTATCCTGAGAGTTTCCCATGTGTTACCTCATTTTTTTAAGACATGTGAGATAGGTTCAGATATTATCTCTATTTTACACCAGAAGGAACAGAGATAGTGTGGAGATAAATGACTAACTCTTCCAAGATTTAATGGCCAGATTGGTAAGAGCTGGTGCTGGAACCCACACTCTAACCACCGGACTATACTCAGTATCACTGAACCGCATCTCCACATTAAAAATAACCACAGCCCTGGCCGGGTTAGCTCAGTGGATAGACTGTTGGCCTGTGGACTGAAGGATCATGGGTTTGATTATAGTCAAAGGCATGTACCTAGGATTCAGGCTCAATCCTTGGCCCTGGTCAGGGAGTGTACAGGAGGCAACCAATCAATGTATCTCTTTCACATTGATGTTTCTCTCTTTCTGTCTCTCCTCCTTCCTTCCACTCTCCCTAAAATTCAGTGGAAAAATACCCTCAGATGAGGATAAACAAAAAATAAATAAAATAAAATGATACTAAAATTCATCTAAAATAAATAAATAAAGGAAACACAAAAGGTGCTAATATTTATTCAGCACCTCCTATGTGCTGGGCATTTTATTAGAAACATTCTTTCAGTTATCCTTTCAATGCCCCAGGTAGAATAATACTCCAAGCCATTGTTAAAATGGAAAAAGATAAAGTATTTTAAATTACATAGCTCTATACAAATTAGCAGGTGTTATCTGGTTAATAACATAGTGGGTCCCTTTGAAGACCCAGAAGAATTTCTATAAACGCCTCCAGGAATTACTCAGATCTGCCCTCCCCACCACTCCTAGCTAAAGGTGGCCCAAAGGCCTCCTCACCCTAGGCAATGCCGTGACCCTCGCCTGGCCGCGGGCTCCTTGGGCTTCACCAGCTCTGGGCCTGGTTAGCTCAGACTCTTCCACTCCTTTATGCTCTGGCACACAAGCTGCAGCTCTGTTTTTTGATTCAATCCCATGAACCATAATTTCTTTGAAAACAAAAACACCTGTATCCTCACCTTTCTCTGTGACTACAGATGAACTTGGCCTTATTGGCCCTATGTTATCTTATGAAGGAACCCAAATTTGGAGTCAGCAAATCTGGGTTCTAGCTTTTTTAATAAATAACTGTTATGACCTTCAGCAAGTAATTTCTCTTTTTGATTCAAAGTTTCCCCATCCAACCAGTGCTCCTTAATATAAAGCCATGTATATGCTTTATGAACTGACAAGTACTTTGTAGACATTAGTCATTACCCTCTGCTCTGATCATCTTTAAAGACAAACCCTCCTTCTAGTGCTCTGGTGCTTACTCCCAGCCTCACATTAGAATCACCCAGAGAACTTTTCAGACTGCCTGTGTTTACCCTGACATAATCTGATTTAATTAGTTATGGTTGAGGCCTTGGAATCAGTGTTTTTTTAAAACTCCCTAGACAATTCCAGTGGGCAGGCAGCATGAGAAGCACAGATTGCTTAGAATGAGGAGGGCACTCAAAACAATTGAGGGGACCTTAGACTTATTCATCCCCTCCTCCTTTTTCAAGGCTTGGGCTTGGTCTCTCTTGCAGATCTTCATGAGCCCAGAGACCCTGAATACCTTGCTAATGAACCTGCTCTTTCTAAAGCTCTGGCCAAACTTTCAGCAGGAGCCTGGGCTTCCTGTTTGTTAGCATAGAAGGTCTTTCTCGAATAGTTTGACTGGGAATCTCAGCCAACAGTATTTTACAGATGTTTCATTTTTAATGAAAACCAGCTCTCTCTCCATATTGGGATTCAAAGCTTGTTGGATATCTCCTCCTGAGGTGCTGGCATAACATTCAAACTATACACATGTCCAAAATACACTCCTCCAGCTGCACGTTCTACATATGCTCCTCTTGACTTCTCATCCCAGCCAGGGACAACACCATCTCCCATGGCCCCAGACTGGAAAAGAGACTGCACGACATATGGAGAGTGCAGGTGCTGGGCTTTGACAGCTGGGTTCAAATCCTAGTGACCTTTCACAAATAACTTTTGTTTATCTGTGCCTCAGTTTCTTTTCCCATAAAAGGTGGACAATAATATTCCCACCTCATTTGATTTGTGAGGATTAAATAAGTGCCAGTAAAATACTTAAATTGCACGCGGTAAACATTCAAAGAGTGTGAGGGCCAACAACTCAGCTGTTGGTTCTAGTTCTGAAATGTTTCTTGCATGCTCCCTCTTCCCCAAGTACTTCCCCCTTCTCCCAAGAGCCTTAGTGTCTGGTCCCTCTTAATGCTTCCAAACTCATCTTATTTCATATAACTTCTTTACTTAAACAAACAAGTTGCTGGCTGTCCCTTCTCTAAATATAGAATAAAGGGCAAACTACCGTAACTCTCCACCATATGTCTTGGGGGAAGGCTCTATTGATCCAGAGGCGCGTCCACACCTACCATTGTATCATTCCAGGGTGTGGCTGGGTAAAAAACGGCTCTGCTTGCTTTCTGCTATGCAGGACTGAAACACTGAGAAAGGATATCTGTGAAGACATGTTGGTCACTGGTTATTTTTAACTACTTTTTCCAAAATGTGAACTCCTTTTTCCAATTCAACACATATTCTATATTGTAAGTGGCAAACATGATGGAAAAGCATCTATAAACTAATGGCAATGCTCTAGGAGGAAAGAATTGAAACAACCAGGATGTTGACTTCTGGTTCCAGCACTACCTTCGATCCAGGTGAGTGCCCATTCCATAATGGGAACATAATCCTATAGGCGATAGCCTGAGAACTTCATCACATAAAGCACCTCTCACAATGATGGGCGTGTTGATGGGCCAGTCCTTTGTGAGGCTGCCAATGGAGTGGGAGTCATGCCAGTCACTCATTGCTCTGGGAGCTGGAATAAATGTGGTGAGGGTCATGTCTAAAGTGTGTATGCAGTTCAGCAGGTAAACTGAGCTACTTTCACTTGAACCAGTGTCTAGTTGATCAGCTGTTTGTACAGCAGTACTGATTTGTAATCAGCTATGGATGCGTAGAAGCAACCAAGACATACACAGACTTGTGACTATACACATAAATCTAGTTAAATTCCACATGCATTCTATATGGATAAAAGAAATAGTGGGCTAAAATGTTTTAGAGGAAAGATGAAGCCTAAGTGATCTTTGCCCTTATCTGTAACTGGAATGTGCAATACATTTAGACCTGCTTTCTCAACAATGTGCTTATTAACACACCTTCAAAGATGAACTTCAAAATGGTAGCCCCTGGAGGCAAATTCCTCCCATTGGTTTGCTCTCAGCGCCCTCTGGTGTCCAGCTTGGGACATAGCCCTAAGGAATTATAACAATATTCTACAATTTACACCTTCATCTTTGTGGAATAAAAAAGATCTTGGTTTATATTCCAGCCTTGCTAATTTCCAGACTCTGAGGCCTGTCTCACCTCTCTAAGATTCAGTTTCCTCATACATAGAATGATGATAATACCTACAAAATCATACTTCACACAATACTAGTTTAAAGAAATTGCTTCCAAAAAAATGTCATCACTAAAACTCTTAGCCATATATACTCATCCCATGAAGTATAGAAAAGACTTACCTAGAGCACTAAT